TAAATTTTATTATCTTCTATTGTCTTAAACATAATCAGTGCTGTGGGCTGAGGGCCCAGTGTGTGGCCCTGCATGATTCAGTTTGAAAAGCTCCCCAGGGCATTTCAAAGTTGGTTTATCTCAGGGCCAGCTGAGGGCTTGTTGAATAATCCACATTTTTCCAGAGAAGTTGACTTGAAATATCCAGTGCAACCTGCCAAACTCTGCCTTTGTTTATAAATCTACTTTCTGGTTATACCATACAGCATAGGTGCTTCCTGGAAACCTTGAATCTGGTCTTCTCAGAGGATACATTCTAAACCCAGCATAATCTCTCTGCAACCCTTCCATTATCTCATTACTATAGCTTAAGAGGAAAAGCCCAACCATTTTTGGTATTCTGTGAATGAGACATTTTTTGAGGTTCTGACCTCACACTCACTCTTAATTAACTACTTCACTCTTAATGTAATTTCAACTCTTTGGGGTTTATTTTTCAGATATAGATTTTTGTCTTCTTGATGTTTTCTTAAAGAGTTATTCAGAGTAGATTATGGCCAGTTTAAGATCCTAAATAGACATACATGGAACATGACTGTCTAGTTGTTTTTTTGTGAAAACAAAATAAAACCACACCAAACAAAAAGCATCACACCTTTAAGGCACTAGAGAACCTCAAAATACTCTCAATACTTCTTTGAATTTCACAGCTGCAGGGTTCACTGGCCACTACTTATCTGTTACAGTGGGGAACATCCATGCCTTGTGAAGCAAAGCTATGTTCAAGATAACGTAACAGATACAATATCAATTTCTCTATCTGAAACTGTTTTGGTTAAGATGGAAATCTGGTTCGCTCATAATTAAATGGGCACATTTTTAAAATAAGCTCTTTTATTTATTTATTTTTAGACAAGGGGGAAGGGCAGGAGAAAGAAAGGGAGAGAAACATCAACGTGTGGTTGCCTCTCGCGTGCGCCCTACCAGGGACCTGGCCCACAACCCAGGCATGTGCCCTGACGGAGAAGCGAACCGGTGACCCTTTGGTTAGCAGGCTGACACTCATTCCACTGAGCCACATCAGCCAGGGCATATGGGAGAACTTTTTATAAGTAATAGTAAGCAGCCAGTTTGGGAACCCTGGGCACCCACACACTGAAAAGCCTGAGGTTGTGGTGAGCATGGGCGCATTGCAACACATGAGACTTGGCTTATTTTCCTTAGAAGCTTTTCAGATTTGGGGAAAGAAAGAAAAATATTTTTTAAAAGACAATGTTGAGCACTTGGAATTATACTCCTAAGAAAATGAGTCAAACTATTTAATTTTGATAAACAGCCTCAAAACTAAAAATGAACTGAATTAATGTCCAATGACATCATTTGGGAAAGTTTTTATTGTGTTCCCTGCCTTTATTTATTTACTATTTTAAAAAGTGTTTTTTCCCCCTTCACTATAAAAGTGAAACGTGTTCATTGTCATTATATTTGCAAAACTTTGGGAAAAGATTATTTCTTTTATTTTTTTCACTTTGAAAAGAGTGCTTTTTCCCTCTCACCATAAAGTAAACATGCTCACTATCATGGTAATAGGAACACCCGGAAGCTCTGCCCTGACTGGTGTGGCGCCCTGGGCTGAGTGTTGTGTGCAAACCGGAGGGCTGCCAGGTGAAATCCTGGTCCAGGCCTGTGTCTGAGCTGCAGGTTGCTCCTGGTCAGGGCATGTAAGGAAGACAACCAGTTGATGTTTCTCTCTCAAATCGATGTTTCTCTCCCCCTCTTTCTCCCTCCCCTAAAGGGGAGCCTCTCTCTAAAATCAATAAATAAACTTAAAAAAAAATTTGGAAGTGCCAAAAAATAAAATTAATCTAAGATCCCATCAGCATTTAGGGCCATCAGTTGATATACCAAATATGGTTTTGTCTGACTTTTTTTTTTTGCATTGAATATATCACGAGCATTTTCTCATGTCACTTAATATTTTATAAAGTATAAGTTTCAGTGCCTGCATAATACTTCATCATATGCATGTATTATTGTTTATTTAATTATTGCTCTAATGCGGACTGTTCAGATTGGTTCCAGTTCTTTTTGCTACTATAAATAATACTACAACAAATATATGTGTATAGTATTTGTGTGTATCTCTGGTTGTTTTCTTACAGTAACACCTTAGTTATCTTTAAGAGAAAGTCCTCAAAAATCTTTCAACAATTCAGATACCTTTCCCACCATTGATATATTCCTTCAGGTGCTCTGAAAATACTTAAGAAACTTGGTCATCTGTGATGAAATGGATCCTGTATTCTGACTCTTGAGCCCTCGTTTCATGTGACCAGTGGATTAAAAATACCCTTCTTTCCAAGGCTTCTCCCTCTTAATTGTCTCTCTCCGAAAGCAGGAGAGCAGAAAGTGACAAGTGGTAGCTATCCATGAATCAGACGCGTAAGTTTTGATGGAACGGATGTTCTCTTGACCATATTTCCTGAAGACATAGTGGGTGTCAAAGGTACACTGGTAACACTTTTATTTATTATGTTTTAAAGAAAAATATCCAAGCCTCACATTCCTGGTATTCTTAATCTACAGTCAAGAACATTAGATTACTTAAACTGGGCTGGAAATCCATAAGCTGGCTACGAAACTGAAGAGCTGTGCCCACCATGTGATGCAAGCCAGTTAGGGACACATAAGTGAGCAAGGAGGTCTGATGAGACATCTGAGACTTTCTTCTAGACTTCAGTTTTACACCACATCAGGCTTTGGGTCTTATTCTTATGAACTGTTAGTTACGATGCAGGCCATACAGGGGTAGGAATGAGCATGCTGGCCCTGGGGCCAGCCTGCGGGCGTCTACAGTCCGACTCCCATTTATTAGCTGGGTGACCTGTGTTAAGTTAACACTTCAGATCTCAATTTTGCTATCTACAATATGAGGTTATTAATTGCTCTTACTTTACAGGGTTGCTGCAAAAATCAATGAGGTAAGGCATGAAAAACCCTTTGAATTAGTGTCTGCCATGTACTGCGTAGCCAGTAGTCAGCTACAATTGTCCACTACTGAGCCACTGCAGAAGAGAGGCTTTCCTGATGCTCTTGATGTTTGTACCCACATCTCATCCTGATGTCTGCAAACAAATGTGACCATGTGGTTTACTGGGAGTCTATAATGTGTGGTGCTCTCAGATACACATTAGATGTTAGTATTCCTACACATTGGAAAGAAGATACTATAAAAAAATACCTTATTTAAATTTTCCTTTTTGCCAACTCTAAGTGACCCTTTATGTTCCAAAATGGACTATGAACCAGATACATGCATTTTTTTTCATTTAATTTTAAGGCAATCCTGAAAAGTTGCCACCATTATTTCTATCTTAATTATTGCAAACTGGAGCTTAAGAAGTAAAGTGATAACAAACTGATAAGCCAGAATTTGTGCCAACTTGTGTTTGAGACCAAAGCCTATATATACTGCCTTCAAATTTATAAATTAAACCATGAGAAGACACACATAATATTTTTTTGGAGGAATGAGAGGGTTTGATACCCAAATGCTCATTTGCACGTATAATATTAACTTTTAGCGTTTTTTCTTTAGAACAACTTAGGGGTTAACATAAATATAATGGGATAATAGAAATATCAAGTTACCACAGATAAAGTATACAACAAGCAATAAGTATAAGGTATATAACCTTGTGGAGTTTAAATAAGTGCTACTGCATGGCTGCTTAGTAACCATAATTGTTTGTTATGATATGATATGATATAATTTAGTATAATATAATATAAAAATATTAAAAAAGTAGGTAAAAACTACCTTAAATTTGGAAGAAAATCAGGGAAGAGTTCAGATGAAAGTATGATAGTGAGGCAGGATAGTAAGAAGCTAGGAAAATTTCTGGGCAAGTGGATTGTGGAAGCTGAGATAAGAAAATAAAACCAGGCCAAACAGTTTGAACAACTTACAGCCAGCTAGTGATCACAAGACCTTATCTCCCCTAACCAAGGACACGTGAGAGCAAATGGATTATGCCTCTCCTCCCTAACCAAAGAATATATTGTTTACACCACCAGTCTGGAAAATAGATAACAGAGACCCAGTTAATGTCATTTGTGCCAGCTAAATCTAGGAACAGATAAAGTTAGGGGAGCAAATAACAAAAATCTCATTAAAAGCCAGACAGACCCAAGATAAAAGTAAAACAGTATAGCAGACCAAAGATCAATCCCACCCCCTCCCCTAAGATTCTCACCTGCAGAAGACAAAAAGCCCTCAGAACAAAGACATGGCGCAAGCTTGCTCTAAAGCACACCCCCGCCCCTTCCCAGGCCTGAACTTTTTACTTTCTCCTAATCTCTAAGAGTCCCCCTGATACTTGCAGCGAGGGAAGCAGCAGGCAGCAGCCGCTTGCCCTAGGCTTACCACCTGATCCTGTCTCCAAGGCACCTTGTTCTCTGACTTCCCAGTGAGCTAATAGCAGCTCTGCCTTAGCTCACTTATTTCTTTTAATATTTCTAGGGAGCCAAAGCAGGGCACTGCCTAGGCTCTCTCCTGTTACATCTTCTACCCTAAGTCCTTCCTTTGTTCTTAATAAGACAGTGGTCTTAATAAAAAATACTCTCAAAATCACCTGGACTCATGTTGTGAAATCTTTCCTACACAAAGTCAAGAACCCACATGCTACAGGCTGGCCTGAGGCAGACACCCCTCCTGGCTGGTCCCTGTCTGGTAACAATAGGTTTCAAGCCTGGAGAGTCCACTTGGGAGTTTTAGCATTTTGATTCTTACTCAGTAATTTCCAGAACATAGATTATCTGCTCACTTGCTCTGAAGAGAGCCGAAGCACTCTTTTCTCTCTTATGGGAAAACATGACAGATTCCCAGCAGTTGATTGCTACCTTGTTTTGTCTCCTCTGCTCCATCTGCCCACATATCCCGGCCCTCACTCGCAGTCTGAGGCTGTAAGGGAGCACTGTAGCGAGTTGCCCTGCCCTACATCTCTTCCCATAAGCCATACCTTACTATTTAAGATCTGGACAACCCTCTGCTGCAGGGTCTGGCCAGCTTTGGGCCTCATAAGGATGTAAATGACTTTCAGGTCGGGGCTGGTGCGAAATAGCTTCTCCATCAACACTTTTCCCAGGAAGCCTGTGGCCCCAGTAATGAGAATGGACTTGCCACTATAGAAAGCTGCAATCGTGGACATGATTCTTCTCTTTGTCTTTGATGGCTCCAGAAAGAGGTCCCTGAAAAGGACGAGAAGTAACAAAAGATTACATTCTTAGAAATTCTCAGATCTAGTCACTTAAAATGTTTTTGGTGTGTGCGGAATTTTGAGTGCGGAAAAACGTTAGAGAGAGAACATCATGGCTTATCGGCAACACTGTACACTGAGTCAATACTTACTTAGCCCACTGCACATGCCTCACTTTATGCTGGGAACTGTGGGCAAGAAATGAGTAAAACATGGCTCTTGCTCTCAAGGGATTTCTCACTGTCTAATGCAAGAGACAGATACTTTAAGGAATTGTTACATATAACATGGCAAGTGGTAAAACAAAGGGGACACAGTGGAGCGTGCACAGTAGGACCTGGAAATTTCAGGAAGGTGACACCTGAGGTGAAACTTGAAGACAGAGAAGGGCTGTGATGAGGATGCTCTGAGCCAGACGAAGACAGAGAAAGAACAAAAGTCCAAGGTGTGGGGTGTGTGCTGCATGGTTGAAATAAAAAGAATTCAGGACTATAAGGATGTAAGTGATAAGGCTAGGTGTGGCCCCATAACTTGTTAAACCAAAGCTTAGAACAGTAATCGAATTTTAAAAATTTATGATGTAATTAGTAATCCAGTTGAAGTTTTAGAGACATTACTGGAGCAAATAACTTTTGGTTTCACTTGAGCTAACCCGCCCTGGCCTACCCAACTATTTCTGAGTTAATACGGTGTTCTTTTGCTTGAGTTCAAAATGGGTCAAGTGCCATCCTTTCCTTCATGTGCTGCTTGTAGGCTTGAAACAGTGCAATCGAGGAAGGGCAGAGAACAGACCAGCAGCTGGCTGAGCCCCGAAATAGCACTGGGTACAGTCTCGTGCAAAGTCCCCGGAAGACCCCGTTTCCAGGAGCATGGGGCAGGGGGTGGTGGGAAGCCGGGGCAGCACTCGGCTGCTGTGACTCCTGACAGAAAGTCACCCGTGCTAGAGAAATGTTTTGTCTTTAAGCGCCAGGCTACAGGTCGGCGATTGGAAGCAGCAGCTGCGAGCCTCCAACGAAGGCAGTGCCGGCTTTGTGGGAGCAGACTTCCTTTCTGTCCTCTGACTTTTCCAACGACAGCAAGTCCTCGGCCAAATGTTTGGTTGGGGTTTGTGTGGATCTTGCACAGCACAACTTCAAGGACTGGCCCTGCCGTCAGGGTTTATAAAGAAGAAATAAACAACGAGTCCAAGAGTCAACACGCTGACCCTTCAACTCCAGTCAAGGTCACTCTGCCAGGAATTCTCCTTAAGCACAATGACTTTTCATAGTTAGGATGCATATAATTTATAGTCATAACATATACTTTGAGGAACTTGAGGCTATGTTCTTGGGAATGGTAGTAAACAGGCTGTATGCAGCTTAGATTCTTTTCTGTTCTGGAGCATTTTTTTTTCTCCTTAAGATCACCAGTTTCCCCATGTTCACTAATAAAAATAATAGTTTTTTTATTCTCCTTTGGATAGTAAAATGAAGCGGTTCTCATTGCTAGAGAACAGATGTTAAAATACTGAATCATAATAGTCGTGCCAAGTTACAGGTTTTTTTTCAGGTTACAGCATATGGGAACTTGAATGTTTCTTTGGGTAAGTCTTCTGGAAAATGAAAAATTAACATTCAAACATTTAAGGGAGACAAGTTTACTCAAATTTCTTGGTAGTCCTTTAGAGAAAAGCATTTTTAAAAAAATGAGGTGCTCTGCCTTTGAGAAATCTAACTCTTGACCAAGATTTCTTGGTCCTGGAGCTATAACCTTTTGGACAGACACATTTTTGTTGTGGGGCTGCTCCGTGCAATATAGGGTGTTCAGGCCTCTCCTCACTGAGCGGTTACAACATCCCTCTTTTCTCCAGCCTGGTGTAACAACCCAAAATGTCTCTAGACTTCGCTCAAACTGTTCTGGGGAAAAAAATGTCCCCCACCCAGAACCATTATTCTAGGACTTTTTAAAATTCTCATATTATCATATTTAGCACATTCTACTAACAAGTCAAGATTCAAGGATGAAACTTCTGTTTGTGAAGTGTAAATATGACCCATTGCCATATCCTATTTTTTTCTATTAAATCATTCATAAGGATTTCCCACTACTTGTTAAACTAAATTTCTTTCCATCTCTGCACCATAAATTAGAATACTAACCTCACCTTTTATTTAGATTGAGTCTCTCAATTTTATGAATCTAAACCTGTTAAGGGAAAATTTAAGAAAGAATGGCAATTGAACCAGCATGAGATCAGCTGATAAAAAAACATTTAGTAATGGTTGCTGTATATTAATAATTTTATGGATAATCAAGTTAATCTCATCTGTAAGTAATTCTGTTGCCTTTTTTTGAAGATACCAAGTATGCTGTGTGTTAAGCAGCATCTCATGTAGACAAATGGAGTTTTGTTGGCAATGTGCCCAGTAATATGGGCTGGTTTATTGTAAAAAAATCAATGCTGCTTTTTTAAAACTCAGTAAATGGAAGTCGTTCATCTTCATCAAAATTAAGCACTGTAATTCTTTCAATAAGTATGTTGAATTAAGGAATTAAGTATAAGGAAATATACTTACAAAATAACATTTCATTTCAAAAAGGAGAACACAAACTTGTAAAACATCATGTTCATAACAAATCCCTGTGACAAAGACCGGAGGGCTGTGAAATAAATGAGAACAGTTGTATAATAGTGGGAGGGGATTAAAGGTAAAAAGTTGTGCTTCATGGCAGTAATTTCTTCCTGTGATTTTAAAAGGTAATTTAATAAATACATACCTAAAAAAGAAGGTCTTGGAAAGTAATAGCAGCTAGTGCTGTGGGCACTAGAAATATAAAGAAATTTGCTAAGCTTCCTCAGTGTAAGGTGTATTTAAATTACTTTAAGAGGTGTGACTCAGCTGACATTATGCACTGTTTTGGACTAAACTGTGTCCCCTTCAAATTCATACACTGAAGTCCTAGACCCTAATGTGAAGGTATCTGAAGATAAGGCCTTTGGGAAGTGATTCCGGTTAAATGAGGCCATAAGGGGGAGGCCTAATCTGACAGGACTAGTGTCTGATAAGAAGAAACACCAGAGAACAGCCTCTCCTTAAGCAAAGCACCAAGAGAAGGCCATGCGAGGACTCGGCGAGAAGGCAGTTGTCTACGAGCCAAGATAACTCTCACCAGAAACCGAGTTTTCTGGTACCTTGATCACGGACTTCTAGCCTCCAGCACTGTGAGAGACGAACGGCTGATGTTTAAGCCACAGGCTGTGGCATTTTGTTATGACAACTTGAGCAGACTAATACATGCACAAACACACTGGAAAAGAGATACGCACATTTGGGAGTAAAATAATTCTTGACAATAATGTATATTAACATTCTCAATTCTGATGTCAATCTTTATAATGAAGCAAAAGAATCTGTTCCATACATTTGCCCCATGTATATGCCACATCTTTGCGTCACAGAGGTATGATATTGGTTTTTGATTTTCACAGGTTTGTGAAATTATGGACAGGTCTTTTATGATAAAATACAGAAACCTCATGAATCCAAGCCTGAAACCCCTGTATATATGTCACATATATACATATATGTGAAGGACTTCATGAAAGAAAAGTTTTCATCAGAGAGATCTTTTCTTTTTATTACTTTGGTTTCCTGTGTATATCCTAAATTATACAATGCAGCAATGAGCTTAGGTTTCTTTTACTGTGGGCTTCTTGTATAAAGTTTCTCTGAGAGAACTTTCAAGTTCTTGGTGGGGGAATATGAACAGCCAGGGGCCCTGTGGGCAGCTGTTGGGCACAGGTCTCACTAATTGGATTAGCAGTGCTCCATCGTCAAGTAAAACCAATTTGGAAAGAGTCCCAGCTGGGGAGAGAGAGTTCAGGCTGGCTTTAAGGACACAAAATTTAGCAATTACCTCAACACATTCTTCTAAGTTTGCTTCTCCTTAGTTTATTATTAAGACCTAAAAAGAAATTGTCCTAATTTAACAGAAATGAAAAAGGAAAAAGATACGACCTAAATCCATCATTTTATAATAATTGATAAAATAGGTACATTATGTCCCTATTGTGTGCTATATACCATATTAGGTGTGGATAATTAATATATAAACATTTTTGCTAAATGGTGAAGCATTTAAAAATGCATGGCATTATTATTATGGTTTATAGGTAAGTCAAACATCAGTCAGCAAGGAGAGAGTCTAAAATATCAAGAGGGTCAAAATCAAGTGCAAATCATAATGGTCCCTATTTTCTCTTGGTGAATTATAGATTGATCAGGTTCTCATAAAAGCACGGTTGGTCAACACAATGACAAAAGAAACCCTACTGCTTAGAGTTAAAGACTTTATTTTGGAGATGACATGACATAGCTCTCTGAGACAGAGAGAGAGAGAGAGAGAGAGAGAGAGAGAGAGAGAGAGAGAGAATTGGCTTATGGGATTGTAGAGGCTTGGTAAATCCAAAATCTCCAGAATGTGTCTGTTCCAGTAAGAACAAAACACTGACCCTTCCCTGATGGAAGTGGTCCACTGTAATCAGTCTGCCACTGGGTAGCAGGTTGGTCACCCGGAGGAATGGTGCCAGGTCAGGGACACAGTGCTGATCTCTGCTGGGCCCTCAGCAGTGGTGGCAGACAAGTTGGCCTTGATGGGCAAAAGTTCACATTCCCAGGCCTATGCATAATGCCCATCATGCCTTGATGGCCACTTTGTCCATGAGCCCATTGGGTGATGACAGGGTGGGGCTGGGGAAGGAGCTGGCTGGAATCTACAGAATAGATCACACTATCTACTTGATTATTAAAGTCTGCCTTTCCTGAGGTCACTCTTTGGGGAGCATTTATATGGGACACAATTATCTTCTCGTTTTTGTTCCTTTCACACGTATCCTTCCCAGACTTCCTTGTCATCCATTTTCCAATAATGTTCCTTCTTTCAAAATCCCTGACCACCCAGCCAAACCACTGGCCACAGGCCACAAATCAGTATATAACCCACATCTGACCA